AGGGAGCAGTGGCCCCCGCGGCGCTCCCCTTCCCAGGTGCCGCTCCTGCGCTTTGCCGAGGTGGAGGAGGGCCCCCTGCCTTCCACCTCGGGCGGGCACAGCCAGTGGGGCTCGAAGCCGGGCGAGCTCATTCTCGGAAGAGGGGAAGAGGGGGGTGGAATGGGAAACACCCCCTCCCTCCCCCCGAACGGCTTTGGTTTATCCCGACCCGCGCTATGCAGAGCTGTCAGGCGCTGCGCCCCCTGGCGGTATGAGGGCGGGTTGGGAGTGACAGACGGACAGGGATGTCCTCGTCCCGCACCTTCCTGCCCTGTGGGGTTTGGGGGTGGGGGATACAGATGTAACTACGTATGCGACTGTGTACGAATCCTGTCATGGCAGCCCCCCAAGGGGGTGAGGTGAGGGCCTGTGAGGTGGCCTGGCCTGTTCCGAGGCGGCTCCAGGAGCGGTGGTGTGCGCCAGCAGGAGGCTGCAAGGGAAATGGCTTCATGAAGGGCCTTGGGCTTCTAGAAAAAGTGCCTCAGCGTTGGAAGTGTTTTTCATGTGTTGAGGCCCAGAGAAGCCAGCAGTGCTCCCTTTGATTTCTGAGCCCACTCCACCCTGCTTCTTTGGTTCCCACTGCATCTCTGATGTGCTCTATCCTGCTAATTCCTCCTGTTACCCTCAAGCTTCCCCCCATGTTTTCACATCTCCGTATCAGCCTCCTTTGCATCCCAGATCTTTTAAAAATCCCTATTCCTTCCATCAGTAATTGCTTTCAGTCATGACCCATCAAACACTTTCTCGTGGCTCACATTACAGATTAAACAGTCTGATCAAAATGCAACCTTAAAAACAGAAAGATCCCAGCTAAACACAACTGCGAGAGTCTCCTTGCTCTTGTGCTGCATTCCTTTTTCCACTTTATTCTTGCTCTGTTTTCCATCCCCCACCAATTTAAAGGTTTGTGCTTTTACGTTTTTTTTTTTACCCTTGGATACAGGACCACACTGTCCACGCCACCGTTTCCTGATAGTATGGATGGGGCAAGGATACCTACCCACGTGTGTCCTCCGTGTTTGCAGTGTCACAATGCCAATGCTGGCCAGAGTCTTTTCTAAGTTGCTCTCATTTGGCCTGCAGATGGAGCAAGGTTTGTACATTGCCTAAATGAGCACCGCCCCGAGAGGGATGTGTGGATGCCTTTAGCTGAGAAACAGGCATCTTTTTTCCTACATCTTGTAAAGCCATCAATGACAAAGATGGTGATGCACCTTCTGACACAGGAAGTCTCTGAACTGTAGATTGCCAGAAGCTGGGAAATCTCACAGGAAGAATCGCTGTGTGTTGCCTTGAGTTTTTTTATGCTTTCCCCGAAGAAGGATGCTGTTGGAGAAATGGCACTAGACTAGATGGCTTTGCTTTCTTATGTTCCTAAATGCTTGCAGGGCTAGGGCAGGGAGTGTAGCAGTCTGCAGTGCCACTGCTTGCCCCAGAGAACACCTTCCTTTGTGGATTAAGCACATCAGTTATTGCTGTTCCCCAAAAGTAAAAAAATACCACAAATTACATTAAAATTGAATGTTAAACTGTTCCAATGGCAGCAGAAATCCCAGCCCGATTTTGCCTGCTACTACCAGCTCTCTCCATCCTTCCTCAAGATCCTTCATATCCCCAGCAGGAAACACACAGATTTTGTTTTGGTTTAGTTTTATTTCACCATTTATTTATTCTGTTTCTCCCTCGTATTCGCATTCCCTTGCTCGGGACACACATACTCATTCTCTAAACAGGCACACATATATCTATATATACAGTAAGGCACAATCGCTCACACCCAGATGGGACACTCTGCTGAGAGAAGAAACAGGGTACAGCGGATGATTGCAGCCTGCCCTGGAATACAAGCTCTAACAGATTAAAATGGATTCAAAGGCAACAGTGCTCCACAACGTGGCTCAAAAGGATGTGGGGGTCATGTTTGCCAACTAGCCCCTGCCACGCAGGAGAGGCAATGCTGCTGGCTCTCAGCAAATGACACCGCAGTGCTCTCATGTGGGAAAAAGCAAGGCAGGGCACAGACCCGCTTCCTTCCTTGTGATCTTTGAGCTAGCGAACAGGGATATCCCTCAAAACCACCAGGTCTGTAACACTGTTGGGCTGCAGAGCCCACTCACTGATGGATGTGGACTGTGCTGTGTAAAACGGCTGTGCCTGTCCACAGGGACAATCCAAGCCTCTGACACTGCTCAGCTTAACATTTGCTAGGAGGAGCTTTGTGACGGATGAAGAGGAGCTGGCTGGTTCTGCCCTTGGTCTCTGTAGCTGCGTCTGTATTGCTGGGTGGCTGGTGGCAGGTTCACACCACCTAACAGCTAGCCAACTCCTTGGCCCACCTTTTGAGAAGTCTCACTGTCTCCAGTGAGCTCAGGCTTGTCCACAGCTCCATGCCACACTGTGGACATGAGCCCCATGGCCTCGAGCCAGATCAGCTTTTTATTCGGTATCGCAGATACAGATTCAAGCACTGCTGTCAGGGAACTGGTCAGGTGAGGGTCTGTTATCTCTCTTTCCC